AAGAGGATCAACACCAATCTTATGTAGCTTCGGGCTACCCCCTTTGGTTGCAAGAGCTTTTTGGATTGGAAAGCACCTTTTGTTAGGTGTTTTATTCTAGCTCTGTTGGTTTGATTGTTACGATCATGTTTTCTTTGTGTACACTTCGGATGTTTTCTTTATGTATGCTTTATCTGTAAAAAAAAAAAAAAAAAAGAAAGATGAAGTGGAACAAAAAAATAACACAGAGTCATACTAATATAGGAAACGAATAAATAAATAATAAATATTTATAATTTTGTAGATAAAGTTTTGTAGATATATCCAAAACTTTCGACTAACCAACTAAGAGCATGTCCATTAGTAAAACTGTTTTTGGGGTTGTTAAAATTAAAATAATAGTACTTTTAAATTTGTAAACAGTAATGTTTGGGTTGTTAAAATTAAAATAATATTATTTTTCCAAAATTCAATTATTATCCCAACAATGCAACCAATTTCCTGCTGACACATCATTTAAAAGACTGGTTGTTAGGGCATTTCCATCGGCGTCCATTGGGTGGAGTTCTTCCCTTTTTTAATTTAATTTAAATCAAAAACTATTTATTTTTGATGAGCCAGAATCTTCTCAAAGAATTTTTACAACCGGTTTTGATTGAGTTCTTCTCTGACATGGCATAATATTATTGGATATTTTTTTTTGTCATGGCTCTTTTCTCTTTTCTCTCCCTTCTCTCTCTTTTCTCTCTTCTCTCTCTTCTCTCTTTATTAATAAAATATTAGAGATGAACCTCTTAAAAAGTTCACCAATGAAAGATTTAGCATACATGTTCATCAAAATAAACTTTTTTTAAAAAAAAAAAATCAGTTAAACTTAAGTTTTTGGGCAAAAATTGGGTTAACATCCTCCAATGGACATGGTGTAAGATCACCGAGAGGAAAACCGGTTTGGTTGGATTAGTTACGTTTAAGATTATCACCATTAAAAGCGAGTTTGTAATTGGCTATTTTTCCGTCTATAGTCAGGTTCCGAATCGTGCAGCTTCTCGTTGCTGATTCAACATCTTCAAACGTGATCTCAAAAAGTAATTCAAAACTCATGATTAAATAATCTCTTAAACAAATGTAATAACTAAAAACCCAACACTTCAAGGTAGTTGATCAACTACAAAGCCACGATTGCGACAAGAAAACATTTACATTATCCTAAGCAGCAAAAAAACTTGAATCAAAATAATTTCATCTGAAAATACAAAAAAAAACGAAAATCTTATACTGTACTAATAAAAGCGCTTTGAAATACAACAACCACACGCAGATTTCATTTCACACAAACCTCCAAAAACACCTTTATCAAAAAAAAACCTCCAAAAACGCCTCAATGTTTCTGATTTTCCAGACCATTTAAACATCACCTCTAAAGCACATGTTTCTTATGTTGCTACCATTCTGAATCAAACACTCTCATTGTTCCCTTAATCTCTTCTTCAAATTTAACGCAGTTTCCCGCCTCAACCTCTCCTCTTCCATGTCGAAGCGACTGATGAGCTCACTAGTAGACCATATCTCACCGAAGCACAACACACCATTCTCAATATAAAATTTCTTTTCAAGACTCCTGTAAACGTTTTTAAGCGCGTAGTACTTCCATGGCAGAAGTTTGAGTGCAAAATGCGCTAAAAGCGTGTCATCATCCTCGAAGTAATCAATCCCTAGTCTCTTTGACTTAGCCAGGACAGTCTTCATCCTCATAATAAACACCCTTACATTCTCATTGTCTCTATAACTCATCGTGGAAAACTCGGCTTGCACCATACTTCTCTCTGCCTCTTCATTTTTTACATAGAAAGCTTCCAAACATGAGAGAAATTCTTTTGCGGTTGCAACATCCTCGGGGACAACGCCCCTGAATTCTTGTGGAATCCGGATTCTCATTATCATCGTACTCACACGGTTAGATCGGTTCCAACGCTCGATTTCCTTAGGAGAAGAGCTTGGACGCTCTTCACTTAGCGAGATATCAAGATCCATAAGGGCGAGCACAAGTAACAAGTGTTCTTTCCATTCGGAGAAGTTGGATCCGTTTAGCATCGGGATCGACTCGACACTGGAAAAACAAGATGTATATCCCAAAGCTGAAAATAAATAAAAAGATTATGTTAGATATGTTGTAGTCATGTAAACTTTGAATCCAACGCTTACATTGAGCATCAAAGGTTTGTAATATTGAGACAAAATCAAGGTTTCAAATAACGAAGAGAGTATATATAAACACTAGACTCTAAGTGATTCAAGCAGAAATGATTGGTTGACAATAAATTCAGTTCGCAAGTCCAAAATTAAGGACTTATTAAAACGAGAAACAAATATCAAAATTACAAAATACTTATTAAAACGAGAATTAAATATCAATATTACAAAATTCGCAAGTAAATATCTTTTACTAGTATAAGGTCTAGGGATCACCGAACCAAAATATTCCATTTAAACTAACATGTATTTCCATTCGTGATAACATATCTAGAATAAAACCATATCATAGATGCATAATGCTGAGACACAATATATCGATCTACATATTTCTGAAAATAAAGAAACATATGAAACGTGCCGAAAAAGGTTAAAAAAAAAATCGTCAAACCCTAATCACAGTAAGAACAGAAACAACTAAACCTGAATCCATGATTGAGAAGTGTTGCACAATGGATTTTTGACTGAATGCCTAATTTTGGTATATCTTCACAACAATGAAGATAAGAGGGACTTAGAAGAGGAAACGATATCTTTTTTCTGTTTCTCATATTCTTCAACATCATGTGTATATAAAGTTAAACAAGTGACGCTTCGTAAAAGAAAAAAAACTAAACAGCTGTTTAAGATTCAGGTATTTAAGATTTCGAAAAATAGATAATTAATATCAAACTTTAATTTGACTTGTTTCCGATTTATTCAAAGAATTTAAAGAGTCAAAAACTTTTCAAAAAAATCTAATCGAATATTAAAGTAGCATTGACCGAACATAACTCCTTAAATAATTCAAGCGATTGTTTAACAGACGCAAGATTCAAGAAGAGGCAAACAAAGAAAGACACACAAATAAGCCGTTATCATCACCAAGTTTGGGACATAGGATTAGTAGTTATTTTTCACTATTCAAGTGAAGATCTGGTGTCGAAGGCAACGAGCTTGAAGTCGAAGCCCGAGATCATTGCCGCTCGATTCTCTCTCTACATGTTCGTAGACTGATGCTCCTGATACGTTGTATTATTAACCACAAAGTAGTTTTGGTAATATTGCGGATCATACTGCATAACATACTGTGGACTATACTCCGAATAGTTATTTTGCAAATTATACTGCAACTGTGGATTATACTGTGGAGCATACGGTGCATGTTCCGACTGTGGACTATATTGCTGATAGTGAGGGCCGGCCCAGAATTAAGGTTCGTGAAGCAATGACTTAGGGCAGTCCAAAAATATTATTTTTGGGATAACCAAAAAAGTCCAAAATTTTTTTTATAAATGTATGTAAAGAAAGTTGTCTCACATCGACCAAATAAAAAAAATGGGAAGGAAAAATTGCCTATAAATAAGAGTCATTATCTCCATCAAATATTTTTTTTTAAAAAAAAATCGATTCTACCTTATAATAATTGATTTTGGGCTTCAAAAAATCGGTTTTGACTTATAAAAATCGATTTTGGGCTTAAAAAAAATCGATTTTGTTTTTTAAAAATCGTTTTGGCTTTAAAAAATCGATTATGGGCTTCAAAAAATCGATTCTGAGCTTAAAAAAGAATCGATTTAAAGTTTAAAAATATAATTTTGGCTTTAAAAAATCGATTATGGGCTTCAAAAAATTGATTTTAGGCAGAGAAAATCGATTTTAAGCAAAAAGAAAAAAATAGGATTAAGGTCATCATTTTTACAGTACGCTTTAGGCGTCAAATCACTTTGGGCCGGCACTGCTGATAGTATTGGTTCCTAAATATCGCAAAACAAAGAAATTACATTAGTTTCATGTTAATCAATAAAACCATGATAGAAACTATACTATGTTTAATTTCATACAGCAACAAACTACTATAGTGGGAAAATATATACCAGTAAGGTTCAACATAAGTAGGAAACGGTTGATGAAGATTTGCAAGTTGTTGCTGGTTTTGCATAAAACTTTGGGATAAATAACAAAGATCGTCGTCACGAAACCGGTTATGTTTGATTGGTTATGGTTAACGTTACGACCATCAGAAGCCAAATTACAATTGGCTATTCCTCCGTCTATGATTGGATTCCGATTCACACAAGCTCTTGTTGCGGATTCAGCATCTTTAAATGTAACCTGAAAAAAAAATAGATTTAAACTAAACTCATGATTGAATGCAACTCTAGAAAAGTTGATACCAAGTTATCAACTGATACAAACTATATTAAGTAATGTAATTATTAATTACTTACAAATCCATATCCCTTTGACCGATTCGTTGCTTTATCGTAGACGACATTAACATGGACAATTTCTCCAAACTGTTCAAAAAAAATTCTTAAGCCTTCGTTTCTTGTTACCGAAGGTAAACCTCCCACGAATATCTTCGTGTATGTTGTGTCAAAGTTTTGGTGTTGTTGAGACATGTGTCTCTCACAAATTCTATTTTTTTTTTTTCGCTAAAAGAAGTCACAAATTCTATCAAACGAAATTAAAAGTTTAGAAGAAAAAGTTTTAAAGTTTTTATATAGAAGAAGCCAAACATAAGCAAATGTCGATTAGGATTAGAAAAGGGAAAATCTAAAAGATACACCAAATCACACATATTCTAAATTTCTAAAAATACGTAAAATCGAGTTAATAAACCTAATTGGACTTGCTTCTGATTTTTATTCAAAAAGGTTTAAAAGATTTTTTTTTCTTCTTCTACATGAATTTAAGCGGCTGTTTACCGTTTACAGGCACAAGATTAAAAGAAGAAGAAAAAAAAAAAAAAAGACACAAAAAGTCGTTATCACCAAAATCCATAACTTCTAAATTTGGCTGCTTTCATCAGATACTGTCACCTTCTTCGCCACTCTAGACGGAGAAGAGCTCGGAGTCGGAGTCGCCGTCACGCTATACGATTCCATGTCGCCGGAAAACGCCGAATTTGGATTCGGCCTCAGTATCTCAGCTAATGGACCTCCGGGCGTGGCGGACGTCGGAGCAAGCCAGCTCGACATCTCGTCCAGTGAAGACACAACGCCGTATGGACCATACCCGTGAGGATCACCTCGACCCGACCCGATTACCCCTAAGCCCATTTGGATCAGGCTCATTTCGTCGTGGCCCATTAAGTTGTTTCCTCCCATGGAAAGATCAAGCGAGTAAAGAGAGAGATTGCCATTGGAAGAAGAAGCAGGGGTTGAAGTTGTACTCTGTTTTTCAGATGATCTTACTCCATCTGACCAGATATCGATAAAGTTCAGGTACTTTTTGTCTTGCTCAATTGTTGCCGATACTGGAAAGATCTGGCTTACTCTGTTTTGAATTCGAAACAAGAACTGAACACGATCAATTCAGATCATACAGACAAAAAACAGAGTATGGTTCTGTGAACAAGAAAAAACAGAGTAATGATTCTGAGATAAATTAAGGAATAATACGTGGATTCTCTGTAGTTTGAGAGAGGGGATGATGAAACCTCCTTTGGCTCAAGTATTTTATCTTTTATGGAAGTAACTGATACTTTTTGAGGAACATTTCGGAGATCTTTGTTTCTCTCTGAACCGCCATTGTTGCTAGGACGAGAATAAGGAAGTTCCACATGCTTTCTTGAACGAGGACGGCCTCTGTGTAAGTGTCTCTCACAGTATTTGTGGTTAGAGACGACTTCTCTGGAGCACCTCCATTTCTTCCCGTCTGTTCTCCGGCATCTTCCCGGCTCTAAATCTCCGGCCATGTTTTTGTTGTTGCAGGGAGAGGCAGAGGATGACGATGGTGGGACAAGGAGGTCGAAAGGAACAGGAACCGATGCGATCATGTACTTGTAGATCATCGCTTGTCTCTCTAGCTCCTTCAATTGCGCGTTTGTGAAAGGGTAATAGTAATAACAACCCAAAACTCCGTTTCCTGCATCTGTTACAAATCATGAGAAACTGAGAAGAACATTCCTTATGCTCTGTTTCTTAAACTCTGTTTTGTGAAATAAATCAAAAGAAGAGAACAGAGCATAGAGGTTCTTACAAGGAGTAATGACATGAGAATGAGAATGAGGATGAATCTCCATGTCTCTGAAACCAAAAGATGACTCTTTGTATTGTTGCTGATTCAAACTAAACAGGGAGCCACTTCTAAATGGAGTTGTTGTCGTCTTGTCTGAAACTTTGAGAAAGTCCATGAGAGAGGTATGAGATTACAAACTCTTGCAAAAGATTATGAGATTTTTTGCCCTTTATGTCAGCAGAGGCTGAAGAAACATGTGGCTTTTTCAAAACAAAGAAAGTAAAGATCCGTTTTACTGAAAGGCAGTGTATGTGGGCTATATATTTGGTGAGAAATGGAGATAGTGAAGTTGCTTGCCTTTACCTTCATATCATACTAATGTAGTAACATATATATATATATATATATATATATAGAGAGAGAGAGAGAGAGAGAGAGAGAGAGAGAGAGCGAGAGAGAGAGAGAGCGAGAGAGAGAGAGAGAGAGAGAGA